ACGGATTTGTTTTACTTACTTTAGCACAATCTGCCAAAAAGCGAATCTCCTAATGTTCGGAAAAATTAATTTTGAGGGTTCACTTGAACCTGGACAGCGGACTTTTTTTTGCCTGAGGACGCGTCACGGATCATCTCATGACATTATTTCAGGCGTACAGCTTCACCGTATGAATTCTATGGTCGCCCAATAAAAATATCACGTAAATTGCCGGTTCGTGGTGCGCAGGGTGATGCAGGTGAAGGCACCGAAGAATTGAATGCCGAAATGTATCAGGCAGAGTTTGCTGCTTACAAAGAGTTTTTGGAATTCAAAGAAGAGCTTGACATCTTTTATAGTTATACGACGAATCAAAAATCAATCAATCACGGACGAGTGTTTGTAATTCCTTACAATTCTATAAATTAACAAAATTTTTATTATATATTACATCTGCTCAAGCGTCGTTGTCATGCAGTAGATCAGATTTTCTGCCTCGCCGGTGGGACAGCCAGTCCCGTACGATCCGTTTAGTCGTTCCAGTGGTAAATTGGTATTGGCATATGCCAGGAAGTCAAACTCGCCATCAGTTTTCTTAAGCAACCATCAAAAGAGGGAGAATCGATAGTTCTTGGCATTTTCTACCACCTGGGCTATTTTTTGCATTCTTTTCTGGTAGAAAGCGAATACCGAAGAGTTTTTGATTTTTCACATCTACTTAAACATCTACTTATGTAGCTGGTGGTTTCGGTGCAAGATTGCCAACAAATCACTTCAAAATAGCTCAAGTTCTCAAAGCAAATGAAATACGGGATTAAAGATTTGCAACTAAAAATAAAACAGCTATTAATTTACCACAACTCTGCGAATGTTTTTTTTTTTCGAAACTATACTTTTTATAAATTCTTGTATGGATTTTTCGTTCGTCAGCCAAATCGATGGATGTAAATAAATGATTTTTCGTTTTTTATGAATAATCATCAAAACTTTTCATTTTAGATTTTCTTCGTTGGAAAGAGGCCAACGCACATACGGTGTCATTGAAGTAACGGGTGATCTTGCCTACTACACCGGTATATGGCAAAGAGTCGAAATTATGGGCATAAAGGTAGGTATTTTTCATAATAATTTGATGAATTGTAACTAAAAATTTAATAAATTGATAAATTGTGCGTAAAAATTCGGTTTCATTTCGGTGGTATGCATCGGTTTTTCTGCACCAGTTTTGTTTCAACGGTAAATTAGTATTGGCTCCTTTTGTATGAGGGAGATCAATCCGCCTTCTGTTTCTGAAATCCCGCGAAAGCCGGCAGGAATTGAAGTATATGGTGCCAAATAGATGCAGCGTTAGAAAATATAGGGTTGTGTTACGGGGTTTTTTAAAATGTATTTTGGGCGTAGAGACCGGTGGCATGGTAGATTAGGACATCGCGGTCATATGTGCAGGAGATGTGGTTCAGTTACCTCCTGATCCGCCATTTTTTGCAAAAAAGGACTCTGTTCACGAAATCCATAGTCTATTTTTCAACAGCTTTTGGAAGAGGATGTTGTTAGTAATTTTGCTAGAATAGTTGTTGCCGAAAGTATACAGTCATTAGACAGATTGGTAGCTTCTATTTCATGTAAAGTAAGTGCAGTGAGAACGAAGATAATGTTAAAATCAAAGATAATGGATATGTACCAGTGGACATATTG